AGAATGGAACAGATGAGAAAATGTATGAGAAAGGCAAATCAGACACATCATGCCTATTTGGGAAAATGAGGTCAGTTTATTAATTGTATTCCCAACTAGATACATAAAATTTCTCCAACAGTGCCTTCTATTTTTACTCTACTGCTGTTGTTGGTCCAGAGAGTAACTCTGGAACAAAATGCTGCTAGAAAACAACTACAAATACAAAGAAATGAAAAATAATTCAAACTGAGGGCAGAACTCTGACACAGTCACTGATTTCTAGCATTGCAGAATATCATGAAGCACTGTCACAGCTAACCAAATACCAGAAAAGAAATAAAAACTTAAATAAGTTCAAGAACATAAGACATGAGCGTTGTGTAAACAATGAAAAAAGTGAATGTCAGTTAATGAAAAGCTTTTATCTAATGATCTATATACACTATGTCAGTGGAAACCATCTGTCTAAAAGAAAGCACTTGGGAATTTACAGCTCCTGGTGTCCAACACATGAAATCTTTTGATTTAAGAATTGATGGTAGTTGCTTCAAATTAGGCCTGGAAAATAAGAAAATAACATGTCAGGAGTCAGCTCCCGGGAACAGCTCACTGACCCCTGTTTACCCGAATCGACTTGGCAAGTGACCTGCGTTAAAGTCGCCATGCCTCTGATCAGCATGCTGTGGGAACATCAGAGCCGGGTTGACCTGCTAAATTACAGTTACTACGCCCTGGCTTCCTTACATGTTACTCTCCAATGTTAACTCTTGATTTCTGTTGTACTGATGACATCATCAATGCTAACCCTGCGTGATGATGTCACCAGACACCCAGCTGCGCACTCACAGGTCATGGAGCTTGCCAGCAAGGGGTTAGACCCAACTTTTTTTGCCAATGGGAAGGCAGCCAAATGCCGATTGTTAGCGGGTCGACCAATGTTTGAAAAACATGCGTTACTATCAGTGGCAAAGAGGCTTTAGATTCAGTTTATTGGGATGGTGTGAGTTAACCTTAGGTTAAGGGTAGGGTTTGGAATATACTGATAATAGGGTAAATGTCAGGGTTAGGCATAAATGCAGTAACTAAAATGAATGTTAGTCAATGTAAGTCTTAATATGAATAGAAATATAAAACTTGTGTGTGTCTGTAGGGGTGGGGGGGTATGGGTATGTGTGTGTGTGTGTGTGTGTGCGTGGTCTTGTTTTACCTGAAATTTGGGGGAAGTGTTTTGTTAAATAGAATATAATATAATAGAAAATCCATTTATTGTCCCACAATGGGGAAATTCTACTTTGTGGAAATTTACAGGTGTATATGGCAGCATTCAACTGGTTCCATCCATCCATCCATCCATTTTCTGTCATGCTTATCCCAAGCGGGGTTGCGAGGGGTGCTGGTGCCTAGCTGTCTACGGGCGAGAGGGAGGGTACACCCTGAATAGGTCACCAGTCCATCGCAGGGCTTCAACTGGTTCCAATATGATTTGAGTTGGGATTAGTTTAGGACTAAGATGTAATTTCCGTTTAGGTTAGGTATATGTTGATAGAAGTTAAGGTTAGGGTAGGGGTCTTTGCTTTCACCCATCATTAGATTTTTATTTGTGTGGCACCTTGATAATGACCCTCAGTTTACGTTGGACTGAACCAGCTGATATTCATTAACACTGATAAGAGGCAGAATGGCTTCTGATCAATGATAGAGTTCAGCCAATGACTTTCTCCACCTCTCCTGTCTGTGTCCGACGCATTTTTTTTAACTTTCATTTCAGAGTTTTAATTATATCTTAACTTGTTTCTTAATTTGTTTTGGTTTCTTTCTTATGCTTATAATAAAAAAAATAAAAATACTTTGTTTGCCCACTGTATAACAGACAGGGATTTTGCTGCTTTAATGTTGAAATGACTTGCAGAGGACAGAGGCACTGTGACACTGATGGACAGTCTGGTATCACCTCCCTAATCTTGCCCCTACACTGACACACAGCACAAACACACACTGAATTCTTTTCCACTCTCATTCTTAACTCATTCGTTTCACTTTTTTACTCTTGCTCCCTGACTTTTGTCTGAGCTTTTTTTTCTCTCTCTCTCTTTTTTTTCCTTCTTTTTTTCTCTGAGTTGTTTATCTCTTATTTTCTCAAATCCTGATGGCTTTTTTTCTTTCACCGTCTTAATCTTTTTTTAAAGGAGGAAGGGGGCATTCTGACCATATCTTCATCCCTCTCCTCTGCTCTGTGTCTGTCCCTTTCTCCCGTTCTTTTCTCTCCCCTCGAATGTGCAAAAAATCAACTGCTCCACTCTGTGTGCAGAGCACAAGGTAAAAGACAACCATTCAACAACAGTAAGATAAACATTAATAAACCATAGTTGCCTTATTCTCCTTCACCAATATAATATAATTTTTAGTTCCCTGTCACTGTTTTCTGTTCAAAACCTTCTTTGTCAAGTAAAATTTGCTCTCAACCACTTAGAGATATAAAGGTGTAGGTAATAGCTGATCAAAAAAATCTTAGATTCTGGGAGGCTTCTTCACTTGTGTTCTTGGCAGAGTTGGAACAGTTCAGTTCATTTAAACTGGTTAGTTTTTAGTATAGTGTATATTTTTGACACTGTAAAAGTGTTTTAATTCCAGGAACTTCTTGTTGGCTCCTCCTGAGTTTTCACGTATTATGGTTCATTATCCTAATTATCACAAATCTTAACAGGATCATAATTTGGAAGCTGTCGGAACATTGCTGTCTCTTTGAAGCAAGTTTTAAGTCAAAGGGAAATGAAGCAGTGCTAACCAAATAAGTACTAGTAATATGCAGCTATCCAGAGTTAGATAGTCGATACGGTGATACTTGATACCCTATTAAAACTTTGTTTAAAAGCCTGGCCCATACAATATATATATATATAATTCATGATATATATGCATTAAGTTTGCATGTTGCTTCCTCTTAAAGTCCAAAACAAGACTGTTTAATTGGCGTCTCTAAATTGTCCTTAGGTCTGAGCGTGTGTGTGTGTGGTTGTGCGTCCTTGTTTGTTTCTCTGTTGCTCTGCGACAGACTGGTGACCTGATGGAGTAAGCGGAAGAAGATGGATGGATGGATGTTACACATTTAAATATTATAAAAAATATACTATATATTAATTTTATATACCGGTATTTATATATAATCATTTATTCACACATAAGCAGAATACTTTTTTTCAAGTATTTAATAACTCCTTGACCAAGACACTGGTTTTACCACCAAAAAGCAAGAATTTCCTTTTAGTCATTTTTGTCAGTCAAAAGCCTGACTCTGTGCTGATCTTAAAGGTTTGTTTTATGGGGGAAGCATTTTTCTATTAGCTATTCTCTCTGCCAGCTGATTATACTGGTTTCCTGACAGCTCAACTTTTTTTATTCAAGAAAATAAAAGCATCTTTACTCTTTCTGGAAAAAAAAATTATATTGACTTGAAGTTTTCTTTCATTTTTCTTCTCCTCCCACATAAACTCAGCAATATTCTTCTAGTTGTTTTTTAAAGAGTGAAGTGTTTTGTTTTGAAGTTTTGAGTTATTTTTTTCTCTTTTTACCTGTGAGTTATTTTCCATTTGACCTGGTTGAGCTGAAATTGGGAGTATTCCTACCCTTCATGGGTTAGTAAAGTGGAAAATAGTGTGCGACTCTCACAGAGCTTGACTGCATCCCACTGATTAGAGCAATCAATCGAGAGATAAAGAGAGGAGGAGGGAGTGCTTGTGTTCATGTGTGGACAGGAGCCTATTGTGACAAAGCAAAATATGCAATCTCAGAGGACTCTTCAACACACTCACTTTGCACTTGTACATTAAGTGGGGAAGACAAGAAGATTTCTCCAAAAGCCAGGTTCATGTCCCCGACTCTCAGTACTTAATGCTATTTCTTAGGTCAGTCAGTGGAAGATTTAGTTTGACATTAATATGCTCCAGCTCCCTCTGTTGACATATCTTTGAACCTCTTTTAATGTATTACTGTCCTACTTCAATAACAGCTGAAGTGTGGAACACAGGTTAGGGAACCACTTATAGAACAGCATAACACATAATGTGCAAGACAGAAATGTGAAAAGTTACTGCGTTTCATTGTTCTATAAAGGTAAGATGCACTTTAATTGACTTGTGGTTTCAGACTAAAATCTCTGGATTTGGAAGGTAATCACAACAATTGTTGTTTCAAAATATGGGTATAAGGATGCATATTCATCAAAAATACAATACAACAGTCTCTTTAGAAGGTTGCTCTGAAGATTTAGATAAGTCAACTAGTCAAGTTGAAAATCCCCTTATCAAATTAACGACCTTAAGTACTGTCACTTTACAATCAGACTTTTTGTTAAATAACCTGGTACATACTGAAATATCTATTTACTGAAACTCTACCATTGACATATAAGTCTTTCTTTATCATTTGTTGTCCAGTTTCCACTATACTGCCCATTACCATGTGAGTCACTTCAATATATATTTTGACATTTTAAAATAATTGTAGACAGATTACGCTCTGTTTCCATATGAAAAGAGTAATATAAAGAAAGTACCTGAAAATCATTTTCCCTAGAACTCTGACACCTCATATATTGCCATCATCATTGGAAGTCTTATTCCGGGGGGTTGTAGAAATGTTTCAATACTGTATATGGAGTTTACTGGTGTAGGTATCCTATAATTGACATCATTCGGTGAAGCCAGGTAGTAGCTGGTTTCCCCTTGTTAAATGAAAACAAAATACACAATGCTCCTGAATAACATGAATCTGAAGTCATAATAAATAAAATGTATGACAATAAACATTTTGCCAGGAAATTGGAGCTGTTGGTTGTGTGGTTTGTAGTTTTGCTATTCTTCAGGATTTTTAAAAATGCTTATTTTCAAAGTATTTTAAAGCTCTTGGAAACACAGTAAAGGTTTTTTTCTGTTGAGGTGGGAGAGTGAATAAGTAATAGAAGTTATCCCTTACTGGTAAAAAAGAAGATTTTATGAGATGAGCAGAATCCACCAGAAGCTGGTTCCTGTAAGCTGGTAGCAGAATGTGCTTTCTCAAGGAGTAATTCAGGCTTTACGAAGGTGAGCAGCGGAGGTGGAGGAGGTGAGGAGGGTTCGGGCTGAGCAGGTACTATGATGGAAGATCACAGGGCTGGAGTGAAGGAGAAACATGGAACGTCTCAGGAGATCAGGGCACAATCGGCATAGGCTGATACATATTCCCAAACATCTTTATGGATAAATGGTTACCAGAAACAATGACTTATCAGAGCAAAGGTAAGGCTCATATTAAGATGAACATAGAATTCTTAGGAGTGAAAACAGGGAATAAGATGTGGCTGTACTGTAGCTCAGTTTGTTGGGCTGGGGAGATGACTTATTCTATGTCCCAAGAGAGGGAACCAATGGTGCAACGGGGTGGCAGAATAGGTGCTGGCTTAGGATCAGAATCATCGGGTGCATGTTGTGGATAAAGAGAAGAATAGGGACCACAGGGACTGTCAGGGGTTAAGAAGTTTGTTTAGCAGATTGGAGCTCGGAGAGACTGATGATATTCTTCCAGCAGAAATTTAATGTCTAGCAGTTCTCACTCTACAACGTGGTAATTTCTTTCTGTGGCAGTGAAGCATACTGTAGGGAAAACAAAGCACAGGGGTGAAGCTTGTTGTCCTGATCGAACTGTTGTAAGACAACAGCCCCAACCCCAATATCAGAGACCATTTCAAGGGAAATTGCCCGGTGGGATCAGGAAGAGTTAGGATAGGTGCTTGGGAAGTAGAAGCTGGAGGACTAGTCGGACATGGTGATGGTGTTCAGCAAGATTCTTTGGATAGACTAAGATGTCATTGACGTAGACAAAGACAAAGATGTTCAAAAAATCTCCCAGGACATCATCAACTACAACCTGGAAAACATCAGGAGCATAGCTAAAGCAGACAAATGACAAGTAACCAGTGATCAACAGGGGTCTTAAAAGCTGTTTTCCACTAGTCTCCTTGACGAATCCTGATGAGATGATGGGAATTACGTAGATCTAGTTTAGTAAAAACAGTGGATTCTTGTACAGGGCTGAAAGCTGAGATGATCAAAGGAAGAAGGTACTTATTTACGATGGTGATCTGGTACAAACCTCTGTAATTTATACAGGGATGTAGAGATCCACCTTTCTTGCATAGAAAGAACAATCCTGCCTCTAGTGGAGAGCAGGAGGGTCGGATTATCCCTGCTGCAAGAGATTCATTGTTATTATTTCCAATGGCCTGTCGTTCGGACCGGGTAATGTAAAGAAGGCTATAAGGTTACGCAGCCGCTGCAAGCAGATCGATGGCACAGTCATAGGGCTGATGAGGTGGTAATGACTGTACTTTGCCTTTGTTGAAGCTTTGTCTGAGGTTGTAATACTCAATTCAATTTAACTCAGTTTATTTATATAGCTCCAATTCACAACACTTGTCTGGTACTACTGTAGGTATAAGTCACCTGACTCAGATTCCCTAGATGTAGGTTCTAGCCTGTCATGGAGACACAGCTGACTGCAGACAAGATAAGTGGCAGTTAGTAGACCATGAATCAATTCTTAAGTCTTACCAGTTTATTTGGGGTTTGTTAAGTCGTAGCCTGTTGAAATCTAGAACCAGCAATGACTACCTGATTGGAAAGACATAGAAAATTATTCTTTCTCTGTGATTACCAAAAATAATAAGTTCCACCAGGTCCAGTTTGCTGTGTTACTCTGGGAGATCTTTTCTATCCAAAGAAAAGACATGCAGGGTAGTAGCTGGTGGTTCCATCTCGATTTGGGTTTGAGACACAAACTCAAATCAAAAACATTCTGTCACATCCAGAGTCCACAAGGACTGAAAGACTGAAATTATCTTCATTTTGAAGAATGGTAGCAGGCAGAGAAAGGTGTAGGGAATCTGTATGTATGGATTGGTCCATCAGTTTCCCTATCATCATCGACAGACACTCTCTTTTCGCCAAACTGGACATGAGGGTATGAAGTGATTGGATGCTCCAGAATAAAGGCCCTGTTTCTGACCTCTATATCACAGGCTTTCCTCGAGGGATAAACGTGTTCAACCAGTTTGCATCGGTTCAGATTCAGAGGATGCAGAAGAAATAGGAGATGTGGAAATAGCAGGTGCTGCTGGAGTACTAACTCTCATGGGGCTCTCTCGAGTTGGGCTCTTCTTCTTCGTCTGATGCCATTATCTAGTTGAATGATTAAGGAGATTAGCTGTATAGAGTTTGTGGTTCTTTTAGAGGAGCCATTTCATCTTTTAAAGATTCATCCAGAGCTTGAAAGAAGGCAGCCTTTAATGCACAAGTGTCCAAGCCTGAAGCCACAGCTAAGGTTTCAAACTCTATTTGGAAATCTAATACAGGCCTATTTGCTTGTTTAGGTGCCCATAAAGGATGAGGTATTCTTTTCTGGTGGCTTCAGTAGTAAAGACCATTTTAAATTCCACAATGAATTCTTTGAACAAACTTCTGAACTGAAAGTGCTCTCCTTAGTGGGTCTAAATGGCCAGAGTGTTCTGTCATGATCTAGGCAGAGATCTGACCCACATGTAGAACACACTTCAAGAGGCAGAAGACATGTTTAAGAATGTTTATTTTTTAGGGAGATGTGGAGATCTGGAGACAGAACCATGAACGAAACCTTATGGGGCTTGGGACATGTCAGCTCTCTCGAAAACACACCAATGTTCTTTATTTTGTAGATGAGGGGTTGAAAAGGTAATAGATTTTATTCCTTATTGGTAAAAAGAAGAATATTTGCTTTCAGGAGATGAACCTAGGGGGATGAAGATCCTAGGATGAGACACAGGTTCATGAAAGCTGGTGGCAGAATGTGTTTTCTCCAGGAGTAATCCAGGTTTTCTGAAGCTGAGTGGCAGAGGTGAGAAGGGTGGGCAGGGTTCGGGCTGAGCAGGTACCACAATGGTAGACCAGAGGGTTGGAGTTTGGAGTGAAGGTGAACCATGGAACATCTCAGGAAAAGAATAACTTGGAATCAACCTAGGAGATCAGGACAGAAAAATAATTAGTCGAGTTTCAGAGGAATGCAAGGGAGTAGGTCAAGGAACGCAGGAGACTAGAGGTTGGCTGAGTCCTACCACGAGGATTAATACTTTGGCGTTGAAGTGCTGGTAGTGAGCTCATTAAAAGCATCTCTGAAAATGAGCATGGATGAGAAAAACCTTCGCTCCTCACCAGCCTGCTCCAGAAAACGCCCGTAGGAAAAGATCAGAAGGCAGCCCCAAGATGGAGCTAGACTCCAGAATCCTGACAGCTTCTCTGGAAATTTCTCTCTAATCTACAGAGACAACTCTTTCCTTTGCTTCATCTGGTCCATGTTGAGTATGTTAGACGACATATCATCAACAGTGATTACATTTGACAGTGACTGACTAATTACAAGATTGTACCAATGCTAATAAGTGGACACACCTTTATTTAACCTGCCTTTTTCAAACATAATGTTCTGTCTTTTCTAGGGGTACCGGCGTTTTTTTCCAGGCTTGTATAATGAGTTTACTTTTTAAAATCATCATGTTATGGTTGAAAAACAATGTTTGGTTTTCATTGGTTTATATTCACAGGATTTCATATAAGTATGACTTATGTCACTTTTTTTTTATTTCTGTGATGGCTGTATGTCTTTCTTTCATTAAACCAGGAGTATTGAAAATCTGTCCATGTGTGTTCTGTAGCACTATATAATGAACCTTGCAAGTGCAGATCACAAATAGTGTGACATTACAGGCTCTGTTTGTTCCAGTAACAAACAGAAGGTGGAAAAGCAGGATATTACAAGACCAGAAAAAAACATCTAACATGCAGTAGTTTATAAAGTAAAGTGACTTTTTGTAGAGCATCTGTGTAATTTAATATTTTTAAACTGTGAAACAAGCAAATCCAGCTATCAGTCAGTCAGGTCATGAGTTTTGTTTTTACGAGTAGATGCATCTTACTGCAATGTTTGTCAGTTTGACGATAGTCCAAAGATTTAATATTTTACCATCAGAGGTATATAAACTTGCACAAACAAGCAAGTGTTTATTTAGATAGATAGATAGATAGATAGATAGATAGATAGATAGATAGATAGATAGATAGATAGATAGATAGATAGATAGATAGATAGATAGATAGATAGATAGATAGATAGATAGATAGATAGATAGATAGATAGATAGATAGATAGATAGATAGATAGATAGATAGATAGATAGATAGATAGATAGATAGATAGATAGATAGATAGATAGATAGATAGATAGATAGATAGATAGATAGATAGATAGATAGATAGATAGATAGATAGATAGATAGATAGATAGATAGATAGATAGATAGATAGATAGATAGATAGATAGATAGATATGTACACTAAAGAAAATTTGACTAATTTATAGTTATATTTTGTAACATAAACAAAATGGACATTTTTTGGAAAAACAACTTATTTCTTCATATTTTCAAAAGACAGGCTTTGTCACTGTGTTAAAGGTTCTCTGCAACTCAGATAAATTATGCAACACAGCACCATGTTTAAACTTAATGCAAATATTTAGACAGAATTCTAATTAACTGGAAAAACACAACTTAAAGGCTCCCCTCCATCCAACAGCTCGCTACACCACTTTAGACTAATTCTTACAAAAGAACTGACAGAGAATATTTTTGTTTCATTCTTTTTTTTTATTGCCATAGCCTGTGCTGTATGCAGAGTGATTTTCAAAGACCACATATGAGGAATGCAAATGTTAAGTTCATTTTAGCGACTACAGAGTCTTGAAAACAGTGGGGAGAAATTGAGGAAGCATGTGTCTATAATGTTATTGACATTAAACAGAATGTATGGTGCAGCAAGAGTCTGAAGAAGAGAGCTGGTGTGAAAATGTAAAAATGTAGTTAAAGAATGGAGTGTAAGTAAAAGTTACCGTTTGAAGAAGTGACAATTAGTTTGATGACAATTTTTTGTCTTTTTTTTTACAGTCATATTGCATATATTGAAATATGTGTTCAGATAATGCTTGCTGTATGGATTTGGTAATAAGCACACTTTTCTGTAAACCCACATTTTCTGTAATAATTTTTTTTCACTATTATATTGTAATATGTTAAATATCTTGCTATGGTGAAAAACATCAACATAAACAGAAAAACAGGTTTGAAAACATCCATAAATTTGTAATTAATAATCAATACTGTACATGTTTCACTGAGACAATTGAGTTTATAAAATCACATAGTGCTTATTGGAGCCAACAACCTCTTGCAATAAATGACTAATTAATACATGGCCAAAATAAAGCAATATGATTTTTACTAGATTTTGAAACAGACAACGTAAAAAAAGAGAATAATGATCCCAAGTCTTAATGAATAGAATGAAAGACTCTGCTAGCCTACTGATCAGAAGGCTTTTTGCTCTTTTGGTTTCGTTTTATCAGCATCAGCAAGCGAAGGTCACAGAACCTGAGGGATGTACAATGGATATATGGATCCAAAAGTCCACTGAGATAATCTCAGGTATGTCCATCAAAATAGTCATAAATTGTACTATGAAATAAATTCAATATCAGTGTAGTTTTATTAACTGGAATCACATTTAACAACTCGAAGGGTTGGTTGCTGTAAACTTAGTATACTGTGGGACGTGACACTGGTGATTCCAAATTTAAGACTTCATAATGAAGCCCAGGGATAAAATTAATTTTAAATTCTTACTAGTTCCATACAAAAATAAAATATTTGCTCATATTTTTTTCTAACACCATATACTTTTTTGATTTTTTTTTTTTTTTGGGATATAGATAAATATATAAATCAGAGCTGGGTTGCACTTATGTATTTTAGATTTTAAACATTTAGATTTTCCATTTTGATAATTCAAGGATAAGTATACTGTAAAATATAAATATTTGGGGCTTACATAATATTTGATGATTAATTCAAAGTGAAAATGCACAGACAGTCTTTATCTTCAAAATATTGTACAATACCAACATTTGCCTCTTTTCTATCCACTTATTTTTTAATAGTAAATGTCCTGTCACCTTTAATTAAGCCCTTTATAGAAGTAGATGAGAAATAGTTTACTGGCATTATGGCTTACCTTGAACAGCAATCTTTTTAATAACTAATGTTTAACTTTGGTGCAGCACCTGCAGGAATCTATGTTAAAAACAAATTACAGAAAAGATCAGCAGTGAGCTCTTGATTATTAAAAACTAAACTTTAATAGTTATAACAGGTTGAACCATGACATCTGTATCCCGGATTTCAGAAAGATTATTTTGACGGCTCACTTCCTGTACTGCTAGGCCACTATAAATTCATCCTGGAGTTCGGGTTCTTCAGCCATATTACACAGCCCTATTTATTGTGCTTTACATTCTAGATGGATGGATAGAAATAGAGTAACAGTAAGAAAAAAATATTGAAACAATCTGGATCTTTATCTAAAAATCTACAATAAAACAATTAAATATAAATTCTAAATACAGTATAGGGATTCCCCTGATAGAAATTAAATAATATTTTGCATCAAATTTTCTGAGCAAGAAATACAACGCTGAAGGTTACAGGTAAAAAGGTAAAGTCATTTTTACAATTGACTGATGGCATTGTTCAATATGAACTCTGATGATGTGAACACATGGATGATGTTGAGAAATCAATGAGCAGGCAGAGCGCAGGACTGGTATGTAGTTGTGAACAAAGTACAGTTGGCAGAGAGGCGTTTATCATGCTTGAGACACTTACTGAATGGGTGTTTGTGAGGTTTTAAAGTTGCTTATCAGTCTCACTGCACACTCAGATTGGTATTTGTGCATTTAAGTTGTAGTAACAAATAGTGCAGTATATTAAAGCAGGATGCTGCTCTTCAAGGTAATGCATAGTGCCCCAAAGTCTTACTAGCAACTTTTCCTGCTTACTTTCACTCCTGCATAAGCACTTTTGTTTTCTAGGTGTTTTCTTTTTCACTACCATAGCTGATTTGGCATAAAATGGATAAAACAGGATCATCTTAGGATGGATCCCACTGCGTGTTCATGTGTCTCTATAACCCTTCAGACAAAGATTTTTCAAGAGCACATTTAAAACAAATGTCCATGCTAGAATTAGTTGAACTTCAGGTTTTTGGACATGATCCACTGATGTAATCCATCAGCAAGTAATTTGTGTAAGTCAGGCTTATCTGCAAAACTTGTTTAGATAATGTCATAAATAAAACTTTCAATGAGTGCAAGACAACACAAAAAATAGTGTTGTCATATCTCAAATGTTCTCCATTACGTCCTGCATACCATAAACTGATCCACCAGTATTTCAAGGCATTGAAGATCTACTTTTTTGTTAAATTTCTCCATTAAGCGGGAGATCACCACGATTTCTCCAGATATCCGACAACACCTTGTCAGGGAGAAATACTGATAACATGCATTCTTTTAAGGGATGTCACTAATCATAAGAGTTACCTTTCAGCCCCTACCCGTGTGAGCCCTCAGGGGCAAGGGAAAGAGGTAGGTGTGTACAACAATACCAACCAATGCAAAAGACCTTTTAAAAAAGGAACTGAAAGTATTAAGATTGAATCATGCCAGTTAAGGACCATGTTGATGATTGTAAAGTTTATGATTTGTAAATAAATAAATTTGTAGATTTGTAAAAAACTTAGCCACTGACTTTGACCATATTTTTTATGTGATTGTATGGACAAGTTGGAGCCAGTATATAACATTTTGACAACAATAAGTTTAGAAATTTCACAATAAAATCCAATCCTTGCACCTTTTCTTAATTGCAAATTCATTAATTCTATAAAATAATATTATCTTAATGCAAAGGATGAACTTAGTGCTGAATAAGGGCATATTTTAAAATATGCCCTTAAAAATAAAGTCTTTCTGGAATTTATTTCAATTCATATTCATGCGTCTGAGAAAAGTATTACCATATTCCCAAGTTGCTCATTTCATTAATAATGCGGAACTATCTTTTTTTTT